AGGGGAAATGCTGGGGCAGCAAGCAGACAGACTGTCAGCGGTGGAAGAAGGAAAAGAAAGGGAACATCCAGCCCCAGTATGGGTATGCGTTGTAAACACATGCTGGTGCTGATTCATAAGGCAGAATGCAGATGCCAGTTCAAAGCCACCGTGGGACAACTTCTTGGGGAACCAGAAGTGTATTCCTGCATCACCCAGAATGGTTCAGGAAAGTAGAATGCCCCGGCAGGGGCAAGTGGTGGAAGCCTACAGTTGAAAGGCTGTTCACCAGGGCTGACTTGAAGGAATCAGTGTACTTACCAGAGCAGAGTCCATGGAAGCCATATGTTGGTGAGCTGAGCTGGATCAGCAGTGAGCCTGAAAGACAAAAGGCATTGTCTTTCAGGCCAGGAATGAGAGAAGTGATACCACCCTGGAGGCTGATGTAGAGATGGAGGTTAATATGGTGTCCTAGGTCAATTTGTCGGGTCAAATGTTGCAGGCTATAATGAAAGTCTTGGAGGTTCAGCATCTGCAAGCACTACAAAAACATGAGTGGCTTAGACGTAATTGGTTCTCCTTCAAGATGCGTAAAATGATGAGGGAAGACAATACAGAAAAGCGTATATTGAGCCTTTTGAAAGAAATTTGATACAAACTGTGTTGGATTGGGCCTTGTGAGCTGGCCAATTAGGCTCATTATTGATAGGAAAGGTTCAGACTGCTTATAAGGAAGAGGCATACAACTATAAAGTTAAGATGGTCATACTACACCAATTAGAAATGACACCTGAGCATTTTAGGCAGCTTTTTAGGGTTAGAAAAGAAAAGGAGGATAAGAATCCAAGGGTCTTAATGCAGCTATTAAAGGACCTTCTGGATAAGTGCCTCCTGCTAGTATTAGTAGAGAAGTACTAGTGGACCAAATATTATTAGAACAGTTCCTAAGAGACCTTGAGGAAGGGACGCAACTATGGGTTAGATATCACTTGCCTCGGTCGGTAGAGGAAGCTCTTAGGATTGCAGAAGCTTTTCCAACCACTGAAATTGAACCTAGTAAGGAATGGGTGAATAGGAATGAGAGAGACAAGTAGCACCAAGAGGATAAGCAGCATCAAGGGGCACTGAAATATCTTGGGAAGGGTATGATGTGCTATAGGTGTGGCCATCCAGGGCATGTGGCTCTAGAGTGTACACAAGGGGCTCACAACCAATGGAAACAGGCTGGGGGTACCCAGATAGGATGGGACAAATGTGGGGATGGTCACGTCATTGAAGAAATGGACTGTAGTTTCAGTTGGAGGTACAAGGTAACTGTATAGGACCGGCCAGTAGTCATGGCCTGGGTGGCAGGTAAGGCAGTTCAAGCCACCCTTGGCACAGGGTGTTCACAGGCATTACTCATAGCTGACTTGGTCCCTGATGATGCTATAGAATGGTGTAAACCAGTACAGGTGTGTTGTATCCATGGTGGTGTGGAGCAATACCAGAGGGGCTATGTTGATATAAAAGTAGCAAATAGAATAGGATTAATGAGAGTTAGATTTGCCCTGGAGCTCGATGGGGAAATGATAATTGGGAGAGACTGGCCACCCCTGTATAATGTCTTAGAGGAAGTAAAATAGGCTGAACTAGGGAGGAAAAGATGGCCCTGAGTGGAGGGGTGGATTGCAGAAGAGGAGGAGGCCACTTCCTCAGAGGATGCATCGTTTGTTAACCTGGGGTCTGGCACAATGGGACCCCGGTTCAAGATAGCACAGGACAAGGAAGGAGAATTCTCAGAGATGCAGGAGAATGAAGTGGCTAGCATAGAGGACCAAGTTGTGAGACCAGATTTGCATGTAAGTGACCCACACTTTGAAGTATGTAAAGGTTTATTGTACCATGTGAAGAATAAGTCAGGGGGGAATGAATGCATGCAACAATTACTGGTGCCACAGCCATTTAGGAGAATGGTGTGGGACATATCCCATTCCACACCCATAGGTAGGCATTTTGGGTGAGACAAAACATTGGCCAAGATTGGACAATGGTTCTTTTGGCCTGGTATGAGGGAAGAAATAACACGCCAATGTGAGTCCTGCAGGGAATGCCAAAGGGTTGAGGAAAGGTGACCGCCTACGGCTCCCCTCCAAATCATGACTATTATAGGTACACGGTTTGACCGGGTGGTGCTGGATATTGTAGGCCCACTGTCTAAAAGTAGCACAGAGCATCAATATATTCTTGTCCTGATTGACTACGTGACACAATATACAGAGGCAATTCCCCTCAGAGAAGCAACAGACCCCCAAATTGCAGAAAAATTGTTGAAGTGGATTTTGTTGGTTGGAGTGCCTAGAAAAATCATAAATGATGAAGGCACTAATTTCATGTTGGGAGTATTAAAGGCAATATGTCAAGTATTAGGGATTAAACACCTAAGAACATAAATTTATCATCCAAAAACCAATGGTCTAGTAGAGCGTCTAAATGGCACAATAAAATGCATACTACAGCAATGTATTCAGAGAGATCCCAGGAAATGGAACCTACTGTTAACACCTCTGATGTTTGCGGTAAGAGACACCCCCAAAGCATCAACTCAGTTCTCACCATTTTAATTGATATTTTGCCATAAGCCTAGGAGCTTACTTCAGATTGTATGGGAGGATTGGGAATATTCAGGACATAAGGGGTTGGGGCTTGGCAGTATAGGCAAGACATGGTCCAACGGCTTAGATGGGTATGGCAGTTAGCATATGAGAACATGGAAGGAGCTCAGCAGCGTCAAAAGGCTAGTTATGTTCAAAAGGCACAGGAAAGAGAATTTCAAATAGGAGACAAAGTGTTAGTATTACTCCCTACCTCTGCTAATAAACTATTAACTAAGTGGCTAGGACTGTTTGAAATAACTAGAAAGGTGGGGCCCATAGATTATGACATACACCGTCCCAGGCATGTAAGGGAACATCAGATATACCATGTCAATGTATCAAAAGCATGGAGAGAGCTGGAGGGTTGGTTACTTAGCCCGGAGGAAGCATAGGATGAATTGAGGCCTGAAATTGGATTATAGAAGGAAGGAATTATAGAAGGAAGGAATTATAAGGAAGGAATTATAAGAGGAACTAGTTTAATGAAAGAACAATAAAATGAACTGGGGACTATTATTGCCAGGTTTAGGGATGTATTTAATGAGGCACCAGGGAAAGCTAAAGGTATTGTACATGAGATAAATACAGCAAAAGGCACAATTGTGAGAGAAAGGTGGAGACCAGTGCCACATCATCTGCAGGGAAAGGTATATGAAGAAACACAGAAAATGCTAAAACAGAAAATTATAATACCTTCCCAAACCCCATGGCATAGCCCCATGGTAATCATGCGGAAGACAGATAGGTCCTTGAGAATGTGTGTAGACTTTAGGAGAATAAATAAAATGCCACATTTTGATGCATTTCCAATTGTGCCCACTGGTCTCGAGGAGGCACTCTCATGCCACCTTGGAGTGTGCACCCGGGATTGGCCACTCCATTTGTTCCAGCGGTCTCAGAGAGGGCCTACGATCTCCCTGAGGGAAACCCAGAAACTTGCCTGCCGTGAATTTGATCTTTCCTTCAGTGGCGGGGTCCCCTCCTGTGGTCCCTCTTGGATCAGTCGTACTTCCTGGCGGGTATTCGTGGGGCTACACCTCCCCTACACCCCATCCATGCTCCAGCCACGAGGATGGCCACTTGATGGTCAGATGGATCGTCCTCGAGTGTCAACTCCCATTCTCTTCTTGTCGGCTGGGCTACAGATGACCTCTCCCAGCCCTATGTCTCTTTGGGACGTAAAGCCATCCCTGCTCTTCTGCTGGGTCTTTTGTTATGGCTTGGCTGTCTGCTGTGCTATCCTGGCCACTCCGAATCTCAGAGCACTGCCCATTGCTCTGACCTTCATCTTTGGGTCCCCCCAGGCAATCCCTGAAAGTAAAAGAAAAAGAAGAAATTAACAGAAAGGACAAGGGAGTAGGGCTATGGCCTGCCCCCACTCACTGGCCCAGTGTCTGTGGCTCCTGCAGTCTCTCAACACTGTCCTCACTCCTTCCCCTCACTGCGGACCCCTCCAATGGGTCTGTCCCTGGATCCCTTGACAGTCACTGGCAGTGCCCATGCCCAATGCAGGAAGCACTTTTGCTGCCTGCTCCCTGCAGTGCTTCCACCACGGTCTTCTTGCCGCCAGCTTTTATTTGGTCTGGGTGGCATTCTGAGATTACATCATCCACCCACGCTGCTTTTAACTGGAAATAAACACAGCTCACAAACTGCCCAGGTGCTCCATGCTGGTGTGGCTTGCCCATCTCTTCCTGGCCTGAAACAGGTAAGTTCATCCTGGCTTTTCTTGCAGGGGAGGACTGTCTCCATCCCGGGTGCCCCTGGGACACCAATGCCCCATGTTGAGGAACTGTTGGAACGGATAGGCCAACAAAATACATTTCTACTATAGATCTGTCAAAGGGATATCAGCAGATCCCTATGTCAGGGAGAGATCAGCACAAAGCAGCTTTTGGTATGCCATGGGGGTTGTTTGAGTTCACCAGAATGCCGTTTGGCTTACATGGTGCTGTGGCTTGATTTCAATGATTGATGGACCATATTTTAACACTGCATACCAGGTATGCAGTTGCATACATTGATGATATTGTTATTTATGCCCAATCATAGGCTGAATGTGTGCAGCATTTGGAGGCAGTGCTACAGGAGTTACGTAGCATTAGCATGATGGCAAACCCCCAAAAATGTGCATAGGGCATGCATTAAACCAACTATCTGGGTTTGCAAATGCATTCTTTTATTGAGCTATCAAACTATTATCAAAGATTTATCCCCAGTTTTGTGGAAATGGAAGCACCATTAACAGATTCCATAAGGGGTAGAGTGCGTGGTGTAATAAGTTGGACACCTAAAATGGAAGAGGCTTTTTACAACATTAAGAAGGCATTATGCAACGATGTTTTTATGGTAACCCCTGATTTTTCTAAACCTTTTATCTTGCAGACAGAAGCATCCTAAACGGCTGTTGGGGCAGTATTATACCACGAAAAGGAGAGAGCCGAGAGACCAGTAGCATATGCAAGTAAAAAATTGAATGCAGCAGAATGAAGGTACAAAGAATGGCAAGACACTCTCTTCATTAAGTGGGCAGTGACATATTTTCCTTATTATTTGATCGGGTGGGAATTTACCCTGCTGACAGACCACACCCCGCTACAATGGTTGCACAAGTCTAAAAGTGATAATGAAAATATAATGCGCTGGGTACTGTCCTTACAGTCTTTCAAATTCTCCATTAGTTACAGGCTAGGGGTATCCAACAAAGTCACTGATTTTTGGTCCCAATGCAGCGAAGTTGCAACAAATCTGAGAGATGAACAAAGCCGAGAAGATGACAAACCACACCATAGAGACGCAAACTCCTCGACACCACAAGGCAACTTAATTGGGAGGATATGTGGCAGAGAGAGAGAGACTGCCATGCAGCAGGAATTATAGGAAACACTGAGGCAGCAAGCAGTCTGGCTGCCAGCAGTGGAAGAAGGGAAGGAAAGGGAACATCTGACCCCAGCAAGGGCACGCCTTGTAAATACATGCCGGCACCAATTCATGGGGCATAATGCAGATGCTAGTTAAAAGCCTTCATGGGAAAACTTCTCAGGGGAACCAGAAGTGAGTTCCCCGCATCACCCGGAATCGTTCAGAAAAGTAGAATGCCCCAGCAGGGGCGAGTGGTGGAAGCCTACAGTTGAAAGGCTGTTCACCAGGACTGACTTGGAGGAATCAGTGTACTTAGCAGAGCAGAGTCCATGGAAGCCAGATGTTAGCAAGCTGAGCTAGACCAGTGATGAGCCTGAAAGACAAGAAGAGAGAAGGGACTGGTAAAACTGTGAGTGAGAAGGCGGGTGACATGTTAAACGTGTGTTCCAGCTCAACATGCCCTGAGTAGAGAAGTGATATATATGGGGGACTGAGTCTAAGTAAGGATATTCATAGTAGGACCCTGAGCCGGGGCACCCTTGCCACTATTATTGTGACGATGATTCTTGAACTGAGGAGGGCAGGGCAAGGATTTACTGGACTTAACATTGCACCATCAGGTTGACCTAGGTGGGGTGCAGGGGAGGCAGAGCCTCAGGTCCACACAACAATATGTGGATCTATAAACTTGTCGCAGGAAGAGGAATCAAAACCATCCTTCCTAAAATTATTTCACATCAAGGACATGGTAGATGAAAACCCTCAGTGGCTTTAATAGTCTACATTACTGGCCAAGTCGTCAGCTCACAAGGCAGCGGACAGTGTTAGCTAGGTAGAAAAATCGAAGAGTGGGACTAAGGACCGGCATGGCAAATTACACATCAATTTAATTTATAAGTAGTAGGTTTTTTACTTTTGTAGCACTGCATGTATGTATGGTGTTTTGCTGCTAGTCAGAACTAGAAATCCTACAATCATGTCTGCTAGCATGACTGGAATACCTTTTCCTTAGGTGAGGAATACAAGGGATTGTTCTACGGGATTTGAATGCAAGGCCAGAACCTAAATTAAATAAAATGTGGATGTGGGCATGGGGCAAAAAGTATGAGATATAAGGTCACAAAATGGAAACCGTTTAGAGTAGATCTACATACTGGTTCCAGGTACAATTATTACTGCTGCTTCAAATCTGAACCAGTCACAGACAATGACAAAGTGAAGATGCTTTGGAAAGAGCACTGGAAAAAGATCAGATAAAGCAGAAAAACCAGACCGCCTACTGATTCAAAAAAATACCCACAAAAATTTGCTATCAAGGACTTCCTTGTCCCTTCCTTTTAGAACAAACATATTGCAGAGAAAGAAGATCTCCAAATATAAACCTGTACAAAAAAGTGTGTGGTAGATGTGCATCTCCTTACTTTAATTCATGGTGCTTAACAGAAAGCACCATGAGTTAAAGCATTCCTCCCCCCACCCCTCCCCCTGATTCAACAGAAGTTCACTGTTTGGCTGGTTAGGGAGGGGGATTGAGGTCCACTTTGAAAGTGATCTAGGGGAGAAGCTGCCTGCCTGCAGCCCAGCCTCTGTCCCCTAGCCCTGCCCCCTCTCCAACCTTCCAGCTCCAGAGCTGGCTGCAGGAAGGGAGGGGGGGTGAGGGATGGGGAGCACACTGTGGACTAGGGTTTGCCTATCCTGAACTGGAGGGAGGGTCTGGGGAGGCCACAAGGCAAGGGGGCTCCAATTCACAGCCCCCACCCCCACTTCCAGCTCAGGCAGGGTAAACCCTAGCCTGCATTGTGTTCCCCTTCCTTCATCCCCGCTCCCTTCCTGCAAACCGCAGCAGAGATGGGGTGGCCTGTATCGGCCCAACCCTGATCATGCGTGGGGACTGAAAGAAGTTAGATGACAGTGCTCTGCTTTGGAACACCTTCATTGGATCCTTCATTACATAAGAGTTAATTTGTCATGTGACTGGTCACTTTTAAAGCACTCTGCAGCCATGCATTTCTGTCACAGCATAGCTGTAAAGCACTTTCACTATTTTACCACTACCTTCTTTACAGCAAACTGAAGATAAGGTTCTTTGGGTAAATCCAATAGTTTTTATTAAACCAACTCAAATAGTGGGGAAAATTCTTCTTAGCAAGCTTTCGGGCACAAGCGCCCTTCATCAGGCTGAGGAAGCATCACAGCTACAACCTACACCCCTTACAGCAAACTGACATCCATCAGCAACCATCTTAGTACTTTAGCATTTTCATAGTTATCTCAGTACCCCTTTGTCAAAGAAAAGCTATTTTACAGACTGGAGATGGAGCAGCTTCAACTACACTTTGGATTCCACAGATTTCTTGGGCCTCTATTATACTGTTGTCAGGCTTAGCACTGGAAGCAAGGCCTTAATGTTATTCATGTTAGACAATTGATTTAATCAAAGACTGTGGTAAAGTGGCCATATTATTTAAATCTATCTAATTGACCATAATGTGATGTTAACTGCCCTGCAGGATTCGGCACTGGTACTCCAGCATGGCTGCTACTTCTCAGAGAGTTCCCAAATGGTAGCACTGCTTATTTTTCCTGGGAAAGATGAGGCTTTCATGTTGTCACCCCTTCACATCAAAGATTTTCAGACAGGAAGCTGTGGCATCCCATGGTGCTGTGAGATCCTTTTAAGGGTGCTATTCAGTATTATCAATGTTAGATGTAAAAACACACACAATTCACAAGATAAACCTAGAGATTTCAAATAGGAGCCCATAGTGTCAAATAAATACATAGTGATCTGTTGTGGTATTTCTGAGCTCTTTGCAACAGAAGAATTGCTCTTTTACTTTTCTGTAGTCAAAAAAGTGAGTGGAAAGTAAGAACTGGCATTTTCTGATGGGTGGCCTGAGTCTAAAATGGTTGAAAGTCACAGCTCTAAGGTAATGGGAATGAGGGAACTAATGGAAATGGGGATACTATCATTTCCCCCCTTCCATTTCTTGTTAAGAATTCACATCTGGCTCACAGGCCAAGTTTTGTTTATGTGAGGAGTTCATGCATCGGTCAGGTTTGCTGGTGAGGCCTACTCTGGCCAGCACTTTAGCAAAGCCTTTGTGTGAGCAGCATATATTGATCAGTGCCCCAGTGAGGCCTACACCAATGTGCTTTTAATACCCAGCCCTCAATCTGTGTCTTACCCAACTCATATCCTTCAGTCTCTCAGCTCTTTTCAGCAAGAGGTTACAAGCTATGTCTGCAATTACTGCTGGGTTAGAGGTCTTCCCTTGTTTGATGTTAGTAAAATTACAGGCATATAAGGTTGCATATATCCCATACTTGCTGGCCTTGCTTTAGCAATATTTACAAAGCTGTTATATTATCAGGCTTGGAATTCACTGCCAAGTGAAAGTAAAGTCTTTCAGGTTGCGTTTAAAATTTCACCTCTTTGGATAATGTTATATCTCCTGTCTTGAGGCTGTATACCAGTACAGATTTAACCAATTACAAAGTCCCCTCATAGCCAGGTCCCTGCATGTTACCACATCCAGAAAAGATTTGACCTTAAAACATGGGCCGGGGCAGCAACTTTATTACAGGATGCGCAAGACAGGGGTTTTTTTTCCAACTGAGCTGTACTCAGATGAGAGCAGCTCACTCTTTGTATATTTTACAAATATTTGATTGCTTTTTAAGGCGTTGTTATGCTTACTCCAAGCAGTTGCAGCATATTTTATGAATGCCCTCCACCATATTTCCTATTGTTTATGGCCATTGAAGAGCAGACTGTTATGGGATTTTTGTACAGAGAAATAACATATTCATCTGGTGCCCTAACTGGAAGTTATTATATTGTAACAATCACTCTTGGGGCATACATTTAATGCATTTTATGGGATTTGCCATGCATAAACCAACAGAATGTTGGTCTATGCATTTGAGTTTCCACTGAAATTTTATAAAACCAGATTTTTTGCACCATTGGAATTTTTATATTGTGTTTGGGTTTTTGTTTTTTGGATGGGGGTGGGGGGTTGGTTTTGTTTTTTTGTTTGTTTTGGTGGTTTTTTGCTTTGTATCCAACCTTGACCAAGTATTGCCCAGAATTTTGAGTGAAACCAAAAGTTCAACACAAAGACAAGCCAAAACATCCAAGTTCTGTTGAAATCTCTATGCTTCATGTGATTTCTGCTTCAAACCACATATTAGTCATGCGGCGAGGAAGCCTGATTCAGTAGTTAGGGTGCTAACAGGGGACTCTGGTGTTGTGGGTCAGTTCCCTGCAGAAGTTCTGACTGGCATTCACTGACGTTCATTCCAATTTCTCACAAAACTTGTCCTAAGGTGAACACAATTCTGAAATGCTATGGTTCCTTTCATCTGATATTGATACAAGTTTCAGGTGTGTGAAGAATACCTGACAATTCAAATATGCCAATTTTAGGTACATTTATGATTCAGTTGCTCTAGTATCTGAATATTTGTAATGTAGTTTATGTAATGTAATGTAGTCCTCAAAATATCCTTATGATGGAGGAAAATGCTATTACCCACCAGCAAATTGCAGCACAGAGATTAAGGCCCCTGGCACATGTTCATTGAATGGTGTGATAGGATCTGTTCTCCAATCCTGACAATCACATCTCTTGCTATGCCACATGTGCGTGACAGGAGGTATGATTCTGGGATCAGGAATAAGATCCCAACCATGACAAACTACTTGCCAGTGGCGGGGGGGGGCGCGGGCAGACTCATGATCCCAGGAACCCCTTACACCAGCAAGTGAAAGATGGGTGCCAAATGAACCACTGCAGCCCTAGGGTTGGGAATGGCAATCAGCTGATTGTCCGCCTCAGGATCACACTGGAGCCAGTTCAAGACCTCAGTGGGATCCCAAGCCTGGGACTGACAATCAGCTGGTTGCTGAAACCAACCCCAGGGCTGCACCAGAGTCTCCAGCCAGCTCCCAGAGCCCCATGTACTGGAATGTCAAAAGACCTCATGTGCTGCCTAGCTGCATACATGGGTTTTTAAGGTCCCAGTGTGCCAGGGCCCTGGAATGTGGGAGTGGCTCTCTAAACCTGGGATCCTCATGTACCAGGGATGTCATAAAGCCACCAGGGATAT